TGCGTATTCGGTTTTGAAAACTGATTTTGGATGATTTTTTGTAGGTAACAAAAATGGGCTTCTTTTGCCTCATACTACTACTGATCAAGGCAAGGCTCCAAACTTTCAATTTATGTTTTTGAATTAGGCGGTGATTTGTAACTTTGGGTGTCATCTGCATTACTTTTTTGGCAATGTCTTTCTCTTACATGCTTTTTTTAAATGATACTCCCTTGTTTCAAAATAAGAGTCCACATCTTCAAAAGTGTCACTTTTGAAAGTGAGTGCCTATTTTAATTCTACCATTAATTATGAGATGGAGATTTTTATTTTTGACTATCATCAAGGGTACAATTGTCATTTAATTAATTAAAAAGCGTAATAATTACATGTTTCTAGAACTGTGTTCTTTTTCATGGACGTTTTTTTTGGACGGAAGGAGTATATAGAAGTTAATAATAAAAGGAAATGGAGAAACAAAGCGAAACATGCATCATTGAAAATTCGTACATATATATACATACATATATATAGGTGGAGGTTCAAACGAGAACAGTACTGTTTTATGATAACATGCGTATCACATGTGATAATACGCGTGAGGGGGGCCGCCACTCTGATGTAGTCTCACAGGTGGACTACAATGTGTTCTCGCGTTTTTCGTAAAACGATGGTGTTCTCATTTGAACCTTTCCACACATACACACACACATATATATATGAAATATAGAAACTGTAAATCCTTTGTAGCATTCTTGATAAACATGAAAACCCGTAGGCAAGTAGATTGGCAAAAGGAACAAGACATTATGCTCAACAGAAATTGCTTAGTTTCATTCTTTTGATATTAGGTCTTTAAACAGTAGCAAAAACATAAACAAGCTAAGTAGGAGGTCATTTGATTGAATGTCGTTGGCTTTTTTTTATTTTTCAAGTTCTTATTTTCTATTTCTGCATTTCTTTTGCGCAAGCCTTTTCATTTCTTTTCGCACACTCTGTACTTAATGGATTGGACATACTCGGCTTATTTCGTTTGGGTGATCTTATATTTCTTGTCTGAATTCTCTGGCTGATTGAAATTCAACTTAATTTAACAAGTACTGATTATATATGTCTGTTTCCTTTTAGAGCTTCAACACTTGAGGAACAGTCTGCCTGATGCAGTTGTCGTTCAGCGCATTGATGAGAGATTATCTGCCCTTGGAAATTGCATAGCATGCAATGACCATGTTGCCCTTACCCATACTGATCTTGATAGGGTAAACATCAATTATATGTTTCTATACAAATCTTAATCTAAAATTTCAATGCTTAAAAAAGAATTTGTTTCTTTAATCAGGAAACTGAGGAAATGATAGCCGATGTCCTTGGTGTTGAAGTTTTCAGGCAGACAATTGCTGGTAATATTCTCGTGGGCAGCTACTGTGCGTTTTCAAATAGAGGTGGTCTGGTAAGAACTATGATTTGATATAAACTCTTTATGGTCTTCCAAATTCCATTGGACACTTTTCACAAACCAGTGTCTTAACAGAAACAGCCGCTCTAATTTTACAGTAGACGTCAATCTGCATACACCACCCCCTGGTGGGATATATTGTGTTCGTTTGGTTTATACTTACACAAGTTGTGGTTTTTATGGAAACCTCTCTATTCACCTCTCTATTCTTCAGGATAGAGGTCAGATCTGCACATATTTTAGGGCCTGTTTGTTAGCAGCTTAATGGGATTCGCAGTCTATTCGGTCAGCTATAGGAAGTGGCTTACTCAGTAAGCTTCTAGGGGAGAGCCTTATGCAGGAAAGCCAAGTTTTTTACTAACCTGCCCCTCCCAATTAAAAAACACGCTCCCATGTATAAAAAACCTTCCCAAACAAAAACTTCCCCGTCTATACAGAGATTAGTTCACACAGACAGTTTCTCAGATCCCACATATTGGGTTCATTTGTTTATACTTGCACGAGTGGTGGTTTTTTTACGAAACCAACCTCTCTACTCTTTGGGGTAGAAGTCAGGTCCGTAATACATTCTACCCTCTTTAGTCAACTCTGGGATATATGGGTTTGTTTGGTTTGGTTTACAGAAATGGTGGTTCTGCTTCTTGCAGGTTCACCCTCATACCTCTATTGAAGACTTGGATGAAT